CCAGTGATGCACCTTAAGAGCTTAGAAAAACAATACAAACTCAAAGAGCAGGAAATATCAAGAAACAATGATATGCTGGAAACTAAATGAACGAAAGAAGGGACCAGCTGAAAAACCCTTAGCCGAACTAACAAAAGGGAAGCAAGAAGGAAGACCGAAATTAATAACAACAGAGGTGAAAGGGGAAAACTGTAGATATAAAGATATCTCAGGAATGACATCATATTCCAAACAACTGGATAATGCAGAGGGAATATATGGATTCCTAGACACCTGTGATCTACCAAAGTTAAATTAAGGAGAAACAAACATATTAAACAGAACCATAAGAACAATGGAATTGAAGCAGTAAAAGGTCTCCCAGCAAAAGTACAGGACGAGGTGGATTCACTGCAGAATTCTACCAAACCGTTAAGGGAGAGCTAATGGCAGTGTTACATAAGATAGAAAGGGACAGAACACAATCAAATTCATCCACAAAGCTAAATGTGCTCACAGAAACAGCAACATGAGGAAGGAAACTGTATTATCTGTTTCCCTAATACACAAAGACATACAATTTCTCAAAAAAAAAAAATCAGGTTAGATGACTTCAAGAACACATTAAAATTACATCAAGACCTAACTGGTTTCATTTCAGAAAAGCAAGTTTGGTTGAATGCATGGTAATTGATATATATAGCATTGTCTGTAAGACTGTATTTATATCCTTAAGAAGGGAAATCACATGATTATTTTAATTAATGCAGGAAAATCCATTTTAATTTTCCTTCATGATAAAGGTATGGATGAAATAGAAAGAACCTACCTTAACAGAGCAAAGATTATACATTTCAAAACCATAGGTAATACACTGACTATGGAAGAAACCACTGGTCTTATTAAATATAGAATAAGACCTCAGTGTCTACTCTTTTAACTTTCACTCATTAGACTGTTCTGAATCTTAGCTAGGGCAATAATACAAAGAGTTAGAGGGATAGAGATAGGGAAGGAAGAGATGAAGTTACTCCTATATGTGGATATCATTTTATACTTAAAAGGTCCTAAAACTTCCACCAGAAACTATTACAACTGATACATATTTTTAGCAAACTAATAGAGTACAAAATCAATGTTGAAAATCCAGAAGCTTTCCTGCATACCAGAAATCAGAGCCATGCCTGCCAAAAACCAGAAATCAGAAAAATCAAATTTATAAGATTTTTTTTATAACTTTCAAAATAAACTTAAAAAAATCTTGAAGTGGAAGACCTCCAAATGAAAAGTTGGAACACTGAAGAAAGAATTTGAAGACATTGGAAAATGGCTAACTCTCCCATGCTCATATGTTAGCAGAATTAGTGTTGTGAAAACAATTATATTAACCCAAAATAATCTGCCCTTTAATAGCTTAATGTCAGTCTTCATTGAATTATAAAAAGCATCGTAAATCCATATGGAAACACAAGACCCTGAACAGCAAAAACTATTCTTATGCAAAAGAGCAGTGCTGGAGGTGTCACAATACCTCGTCTCAAATTATATTACAGAAATGTAATAACTAAAGCAAGACAGCACAGGCACAAACACAGATGCATAGACCAGTAAAATAGAAGACACACACTCATGCAGGTACTACCATCAAGCCTCTTCTACAAAGGGTAGTGGGAAAACTAGATTTTCACACGTAGAAGAATGAAACTAGGTCCACATTTCTCATCCAGAAGAAAAATCAGTTTAAAAAAAGGGATCAAAGACCTTAGTGTGAGAAACCTTTAAACTGCTGGAGAGAAACAGGTATGAAATTAAAGAATCTCCAAAGATCAATTCTAGCTCAGTTCCTCCATGTCCTGAGCCAAAGTGGATGCTGTCTTTGGCAACAGAATCTTACTTTCAAGTGCTAATAGACAACAGCAGGCAACAGAAACAACCTGTGTTGTTTATAAAGAAGGCTTTGCATGCCTGGTACTAGGGTTTTTGTTGGAGAGTATATGGTTTTGAGGGGAAGGGCCTATCCACCTAAGTGGTGTAACTTTATTTAAATTATTTATGTATGCATATATATATATATATATATATATATATATATATTCTTTATAGTGTATGTTTTTAATTAAACAGAAAATGCTTATCCTTAAGGTTCTTTATCCTGCTTCCTCTCTTTCTCTCGGGTTGCCTTCCCCTCTCCCCCTCACCTCCCAGTTAAGAGTTCTCCTGTTTTCCCAATGTCTCCCTTCATAGAATTTCTGCCATACTGTGTCCCTTTTCAAGGCTCCCCTCACCATGATCCTTTGCTGCATTCCCTGTTTCTGTGGCAATACATGTCACCTAAATAAGACCACACAATGACAATAACAGTTGACATGCCAGTATGGATGGGAGAATTTCATAAGTCCCAGATGAAGGCAATTGATGACTCCTAAGAGAAGGAAAATCAGTCTTCTCTAGGGATGATCCCCCTTGCAGGTTACTCAAGTGGTCAGTCCCAAACACACAACACTGAATAGACTCAGTAGGTTGTGTGTGTGTGTGTGTGTGTGTGTGTGTGTGTAACAATAATAAAGAAGTCATGAATTTTAGAGGGAGTGGGGGGGTATGAGAGGAGTAGTGTGAAGGGAGTGGGGTGAAATGACGTAAATATAATACTCCTGCATGAAATTCTTTTAAAAAATATTAAAAAGTTCTTTAAAATAAAAGATACAGAGATAGGCCAGAATGTTCTAGAAAGGCTCCAGTGACAGTGGAAATAATCCTGACAAGTGGGATTATATGAAACATATGTAGATAGCGAAGGAAGTGATAACCAGAGTGAAGAGAGAGCTTGCAAAATGGGACAATCCAGCTACCCCTCAGACACAGGACCAATGCCTAGAATATATGAAACTAAACACAAGCCTGCAAAGACACTACCTTTTTCTTCATTGTGTCACCATGGAGTACTCTTTCTCCTGTGTGCTAATGTATGGGAAGGTTAATGGGAAACCTCTGAGTGTCTTGTAAGGGCACTAACCTCATTTACAAAGGCTCTCCCCCAGGGCCTGATCTGTAGAGGGCAATAGGTCCATGTGCTCACAGGTTAGCATTTGGGAAACCAGAAATGAGAGACAAGCAGGGTTGTTCCTTCAAAGGAAGAGATGCATGACCTGCTTTCTTCCCAGAAGGCTGGGAATGGACATGGTTAATAGCCCGGTGATCCCTGCGCTATTTATATGACCAGGTCATAGTTGGCTCCCAAACTCTTATGTTTATCTTGGTTATCCTCCCTATACTCTTAACTTGAACGTTGTTTCTCAGACAATAGAACCAATCTTTATAGGAGACGTCATATATTCTTTACAAATGGGAGCAGAGGTGCTTAATATCTTGATGATCTCTACACTCTATGTATGACCAAGACTATACCAGATCCTCCCCAAGACCTTGTAACGGTGAATTAGTTAACTGCTTTGGCTCCTGGCCAGTCATATGTGCACTGCACCGGCCCAATAGCTCTCTGGATTCAAAAATGAAAGATACTCACAGCAGCTAATTTTGTCATGTCTTGATTAGCTCAGTGACTGAGCACTTCTAAACCTCCTGCAGACAGCACATTCTCCCCTCCCGCATTCCTGACTTAACACCTATTAAATCTATATTTTATCTTGTTGCCCTGGCTTCTTCTGGGTGATCCCCTTATCTTTGCTGCCCAAGACACTTCTGTGTAGCCATTCTGGGGGCCGCTTTCCTTCTTGTACCTACATTTCGGCCATTACTCCCTCCTGTTCCTTCTCGGTGTGGTCTTTCCAACCTCTTCTGGCAGAGATTCTTTCTTTCACCTCCCTGTGTTTCTTCTCCTGGGAACCTAGAAGTCCCGGGCCTCTCTCTGCCCAGCCATTGGCTGTTAGCTCTGTAACGATCAATCAAAAACCAACTGGGGACAGGGACGTTCAGCATCTGAGCACACAGATTGCAGATTCTTGATTTGGGGACTGAACCAAGACAAAACACTAGAACCAATTCCCAACAAGACTTAAAGTGTCAGCAGGGCGGTGGTGGTGCATGCCTTTAATTCCAGCACTTGGGAGGCAGAGGCAGGCAGATTTCTGAGTTTGAGGCCAGCCTGGTCTACAGAGTGAGTTCCAGGACAGCCAGGGCTCCACAGAGAAGCCCTATCTCGGAAAAACAAAAACAAAAACAAAAAACAAACAAACAAAAAAACAAGACTTAAGGTGTCACCTGTCAATCTATAAAGCCCATCTTTATGAAAGAGGTCACATGTACTTTGAAAAGAGTTTCAATAAATCATGTCTTAAGTTTTGTTGTATACATGGGATTGAGTTAATTATGACAAGGAAACATTAGTTTACAAAATTGTCCTGCACTTATGTATGCCTTAAATAAACTGCCCAGTTTCAGGCTTTCAAAGTTTGAACCAACACCTGCTACTGAGTCATGCTGACTCAGAATTCTTTCTGTTGGCCAGGGTGTTTGCAGAAACTCTGACACTGATTCCCTCTCGAAGGTAATCCTCCTAATCTCAGAACAGTGGTGTTTAGAATTTCAGCATAAATTTGGTGTGACATAAACACATTTAGTTTAGAGGGAACAGATTAAAAGATAGAAGTACAAAAGAATTATAATCCTTCCTGAAGTTCATTAATACTATTTATGAACCTGAAAATGAATGTCAGGTGTAGTTAGAACAGTTAAATTTTATATGCTCGTAGTGGTTTTGGATATTCGTTTTTACTTTATGTGTCTTTGCCCACATGCATGGCCCTGTAGCGTGTGTGTGCAGTGCCTGTGGAGGCTACAGAGGGTGAGTTCTTCTCTGGAACAGGAGTTACAGTCAGTTCTGAGCTACCATGTGTGTACTGGGAACTGAACCTGATCCTTCTTCTGCAAGAGCAATGGGCTTTCTTAACTGCTCAGCCATCTTAGCAGCCTCCAGTTTTGAACCTTCGTGTACCATACATTTCTTCAGTTTAGTGTTTCTTACTGGCTTTTTAATGTTATATGTAGCATTTTGTTTCCCACAGACATGAAGCCATTATCATCTCAGGAACTGAAATGGCCAAACAGATCCAGAAAGAAATACAGCAAGGTGTGGAATCATGGATTGCTCTTGGGAACAGGAGGCCTCATCTAAGTATCATTTTAGTGGGAGATAACCCAGCAAGCCACACCTATGTCAGGAATAAGATAAAAGCTGCTTCCGCTGTAGGTAGGTATGTGTGTCAACTGTAATTGTCACTAAATGTTTCTGTTATCACATGTACTGGCTGGTTTTGTATGTTAACTTGACACAAGCTGGAATTTATCACAAAGAAAGGAGCCCCTCTCGAGGAAATGTCTCCATGAGATCCAGCTGTAAGGCATTTTCTCAACTAGTAATCAAAGGGGGAGGGCCCAATTGTGGGTGGTGCCATCCCTGTGCTGGGAGCCCTGGGTTCTATAAGAAAGCAAGCTGAGCAAGTCAGGGGAAGCAAGCCAGTAAGCAGCACCCTCCATGGCTTCTTCATCAGCTCTCGACTCCAAGTTCCTGCCCTGTGTGAGTTCCTGTCCTGATTTTCTTTGATCAAAAACAGCAATGTGGAAGCGTAAGCTGAATAAACCCTTTTCTCCCTATCTTGTTTCTTGGTCATGATATTTTGTGAAGGAATAGAACCCCTAACTAAGACATCACATAAGGTTGTATAACTACGAGTGACAGTTATCCAATAAGCACCATTCACATAACATGGATCGTTTTTATTATTAGAGATATTCAATTACTCAAATACTAAAGTGTAGGTGAATTTTTTACTGTTTTCAGGTTTCTTGTAGAATTTTTTCAGTACGATTTCATATTTTATGGGCAAGGCACTGGGGCTCTTTGCATTTAGAGAGCCTGTATGTCTATTACGTTTGCTTTAGCTGAATCCTAAACTTCACTGATTTCCTGTCTCCTTGACTTCTTCAAGTCTACTAAGAGGGGGTTTCACAAATCAGCTCAAGCTGTTACCTGGAGCAGTAGCCAAACAACGCATAAGAATCAGGAGAAAATTGTTGTACAGCAGAAAAGTACCTCCTCTGGTGATTAGAATATAGATGTTGCAAAAGGGCTTTCCTTCCAGTGGGACAGGCACAGAGGAGTTCAGCACGCACTAGAGAAGACTCCTTTAATGAAAGCTACAGGTATCTAAGTGACTTTCTCTGCTTGGTTTTCCTCCAGGCATCTGCAGCGAGCTCATCGTGAAGCCCAAGAATGTTTCCCAGGAGGAGCTTTTGGATATCACTGATCAACTGAACATGGACGGCAGAGTCAGCGGCATATTAGTTCAGCTACCACTTCCGGGTATACCATGCTCTTCTGTATATCTGGGCGGGGCAGGAGAAAGGGCGCATGGTGACACTGGGACAATTTATAAAACATGTTCAGAAGCAGACTGGCTGTTTTCTTAGTGCCAAAGTAATAGCTCACAGTTTCTCAATGATTTACACTTACGAGATGAAAAACTGTGAATGGACAATTTTGGCATGTGCGAGACATACCTGTCTGTACAGCAGGGCACAGCCGCAGCAGACTGCAAGCTGAAGGCAGGAGGTGATCCTAACAAAACAGTGGGGCAAATCAGCAATTCTTTTGTGTCTCTTAAACATATTGGTCAAGTATTAAAAACTATCTTATTATGGTTTGAAGATACATAAGGAAATAAAAAGTAGTATGACTAATATTTATTTACTATATTATCTTTTGAAGCATTAGACACAAGAATTAAAGTGTCTGGCTGTTTGTTTGTATGTTTGTTTGTTTGTTTTAAATAAAACCACATCGGGAGTGGTTGCTTGATGTACAACTGAGGTGGAGAAAACATCTTTTCAGTGGCACTATGAAGTGGCATCTGACATTCCTTCCTGAGCAGTTGATCTTTTACAAATGCATTTAATTAACATCACAGGTATTGCTGAGAGTGCCTTACTGTGAGGTTTTAGCAGACGATGCTTCCTTTGGGATTCTGTCTTGCTTTCATCATGACTCCTTCCTTTATCTCCTGACCCTGGCCTTCACTCAGTTCCCTGATGTATAGCTACAGCTCAGCACAGGTTGCAGTGTTAGCATTACAGCCGGTTTGCATGTCTCCATTTACACTCATATTGGATTGTGTTTATGTGACTCCTTATTCTGTCGTATGCCAGGGTTTACAGCGAAGTTCCTCCTTTGCTTCACACAGGCATAGGTGTCCTTTGCTTCCCCTTGTTGCCCACTGTTTTCCTGACCTACTTACCTCATTAATACATCTTGTTTCTTTGTCTTTCATATTTCTAGGCTAATCCCCTCGGTCTATTCTAGATCTGCATAATGTCATGTGGTTGTAAGTCTGTGTTCACATAGAATGGGGACACGTTCCGTCTATGTTTTCACCGAATAATAAACATTCAATGCTCAGTCAGGTATTTCAAAGAAATACAAGATTGGCAAATGGTCAACAAACTTGACTGTTACATGATTCTTGAGCTTAAGAGCCAACAGTATTTACATAGTCATAGTTAGCATAACACAAGAGCTGAAATTCAAATGGCACTGTTGGAGGGCTGATATTATTTCACTAGGTTCTGAAATTCATTTGTGTTTAAACTATGCAAGAGTACTGGTGAAGTATAGGGTATAATGTCTGTTCAATTTTAAATTACCTAATAGATAAACTCTTATCTGATATGATGAAAGCAATGCTACATAATGCCATTACGAGTTAATATTTAAATTGATGGATTGCATTAATGATTTAAGTTATACAAATACATAGTGTCTCAATATATACTGGAGATTTTGTTCTGTTTTAAATCTTAACTTCTTCTTGTTATAAGAACAGCTCTACTATAGCATCACTTTAAAACAGTGGTTCTCAACCTGTGGGTCAAGACCCCCTCAGGGCCACATAGTAGATATCCTATATATCAGAATTTACATCAACAATTCATAACATCAGCAAAATCACAGTTATGAAGTAGCAACAAAATAATTTTATAGTTGGGGGTCACCATAAAATGAAGAAATGTGTTAAAGGGATGAAGCATTAGGAAGCTTGAGAATCACTGCTTTAAAACATCACCAAATCGGAAAGGACCTTAGACGCTATCAGAGCTTCCCACTGAGAAGAACACTCTTGCAGAGAACTCTGAAGACACATCCTGGTGAAACTGATGTCGGGGATGTATGTCCTTCTTTTAAAACTAGGAAAGAACTAAATACATAGGATACTCTAGTTTATGCTGCAGGGAAACGAGATTCGATGATGATTAGTTTATTGACATTATTTTAATGTCAGTTTATTGACATTAAAAATCTGTCTAAAGTATTTGGCTGCACTTGACAATTGCTTAGCTAATGCAAAAATAGAGGGAAGTCTGAGTTAAGTTACAAGCCATCACCTCAGAGTTTGCTTCATTTGGAAGTTTCCACACTTGCATTACAGTGTTAGTTTTAAAAGTGCCGTGCTGCTGACAGCAATCTACCAGTTCAACAGTATCCTTCTCAAAACTCCAATGGCACTTCCCAAAGAAACAAAAAGTGGTCCTAAAATTCATCATGGAGCCACAGAAATCCCAAATAACCAAAGCAAGGCCAAGCAGCTGGTCTGTACTAATATTTCTTGCTGTGACACCCCCAAGCAACCACAAGAATAGTGAGAATATATCACATTTAAAACTGATTTACAGTAAGAAGTCAACAGCAGAGTGTGAGACGACATTGCGGAGTTGGAGAAAATGTGAACTGTGAACATCTAATAATAGGTTAATAATTCAAAATAAAGACATATTCATATACATAAACAGTCTTCCTAAGCATGTGTAAAGGACCTGCATGCAAAGCAAACCACATCCCCAGACAGTATTGAACTAATATGTGAGGTTCGAAACATGTCAGACTAGGCCAAGCCTGGCTAAACAGTGAGGTCAAGGCCAGACCAAGCTACATAGTGAGATCAAGGCCAGCCCAGGCTACATGAGACCATGTCGTAAACACAGAAACAAACAAACAACAAACATTTCAAACCCACAGAAACACTCTGTAGAATGGTGTTTATAAGGGGTTGTGGACTGGGGAGTGTGTATAAGTATTAGCCAAGGAACTTAATACTTGTTTAGATAAGACAAATAACTTCCAGAGAGCTATTGAACAACATCATGTGATAGCGAATAACATATTACCACAAAGCGGGTCTAAATATTCTTACTACACAAAAAGAAGTATAGAATGTGATCATTACATTCAGTATACATATGGCAGAACATCATACTACATGCTACAAGTGTGTATATATATATATATATATATATATATATATATATATATATATAAATTTAAACATGTTTTGGAGTTATTTTTCAGACTACTATACTTCCTTTGTAAGAGTTTCTGATTACCTTATATTTAGTTTGTTCTAACAAAATCAAATACATATTCACATGTTGCCTTTGTGACGTTTATTTGGTGACGTGGTTACTAATAGCCAGTAGATGGCGCTGGTTACCTATCTGTTGTACAGACAAACTGCTTGAGTCTTGTGTTCTCCAAATAAGAAACAGGTAAGAGGCCCCCAGTAAATGTAAGGGAGGTTTGAGAGAAGGTACTTTTCTATATACGAAGCCATTAATATATACACAAAATACCAGTGGTCAGCATCCACTGAGCTAAGTCTTTGTTGTATGAAGATTTTATATTTATTACTCTAGTTTGAATCTTTACAATAATCCTGTGAGAGTAGAGCTACTATTGTGTGTGTTCGGTGACAGATTAAGTTCCTTCCCTCTAATTAGCTGGATTTAGTCCAGGGAGACTGATTCCCCATGCTAATATATTAACCACAGTTAACACATTTCCAGATATCAGTATAAGCTAGTGAACACTGTGTTTGAATTGTATGTACTCATGTTATACATTCTGAGAGACAGCGATGTTGAGAAAATACATTTTATAATAAAATTGTCTGGGATTGTGTCATGACCCTGCCATTAACTAACGTGGTACTAGTCACCCCTCTGCTTCAATCTCTCCATCGGGAAAGTAAAGACATTTCCTGATCCATATGAACATTAAATAAAATAATCAGCATAAAGGATAACTTGCCAGAAATTATTAATTTAAAATTCTGATTTATTTCATGTGTAGAAACATCAGTCTGATGTTCTCACCCACTATTAAATCTTTTAGATTTCGGTTTTCAGAAATGTAACCAAAAGAATAAGAGGTGCAGGAACCAGGGTGAAGTCTAAAGCAAGTTGGAACAGGAATTTGGCTATTTGGGGACCAATATGAACATTGTGGCATGAGTGGCCTGGCTCAGTTAGCTAAGTATCTGCTGTGTAAATGTGACCATTTGTTTGGGTCCCTGGCACCTGTGTGAAAACCTGTGCGAGGTGGTGCTTGCCTGTAAAGCTGGCACTGGGTATGCAGAGGTGGGAGGGTTCCTGCAGCTTGTTCATTGGCTTATCTTGCCAAATCTGTGCGCTCCTGTTCACTGAGACTCCAGTTCAAAAGGTCAGGAGGGGAGTGAGACACCTAAGGTTAACCTCTGGCTTACACATATATGCACACACACATACATACACACACATACATGCACACACACACACAAACACACCTGATCACACACTCATGCATACATGTATACAAACATACATACACACACATGCTCTCACACACTCATGCACACATGCACACTCACAGGAACACACACAATACACTAAAAATAAATACCCACAAAAGTAAATTATTATGTCATTAGCTGTGAATTACTGTTAATTCAATTTGAGATTCATTTCAAAGAAAAAAAAAACAATATTTCTAGAAGAAATTTTTGCTTCAAATAATTTGGACATGATTTTTATAGTCCCATCCTCACAGTGTTGTTTGTCTACTTTAAAACTTTTGTAAGTACCCTTTTTTATGATAATGACAACAAAAAAGGCCTACCGCTGTCCTGTAAGTGGAGTGTTCTACCACTCGATGGCAGCACTGAGCAAGCACCGTTTATTTAACTACTTTATGGGGATCCTACAATAAATCACTGATACCATTGATGTCTTTGAGGGATTGGTTGGTCTCTGTAACCACTAACATCTCTGTCCTTCATATCCAGGTGGAAAAACGTCCTAAGAGGGTGATTTTTCTGTCCAAGTTCATGGACATATCTGTTTTAAGACTTCTCAAAACAAACAAACAAAACCTTCAAATTCAGGAAGTTAATAAAAACAGCTTTTTCACCCCCACCTTTTGCTTTTTTTTATCATTTGTTTTTTGGGTCTATTTGCCTTGAAAAACTATTTTTATGGCGCATATTTCTTTTTTAAAAAGAATATATATATATCTCACTAAGTGGACTCAGCAGGTTTCATTTACACACACACACACACACACACGTAATAATAACAATTACAGTAAAAGAGCCCTTACACATGAGAGGAGCAGGCCTGGGTTTAAGAGAGGTTGGAGGGAGGAGAAGGTGGCTGATATAAAAACAGCACACAAGAAATTTTAAAAATAATAATTTAATTTAAAAATTAAAATATGTGTATGTATAGACTCTGTCTCTAGTCCTCTGTATTATTAATTTAATCTGTAAAATACTCTGGCTAGACAAGTTAGGGGAGAGGGATAGTTAAGGACAATTTGAGTCTAAATTACTGTTCCTAAGACCTTTCCTTGGCACACAAGGTCCCCGGAGCAGCATTTCTTCCTGGCTACTGCAGGTTTAAATTTTATTAGGGAAGAAATACTTCTCTGAGTCTCTTATAGATTATATACTGCTTTGAAGGTAGTAATGTATGTTTGACGGAAATTGCTGTAAACAGTGCTTCAGAAACAGAGGACTTAAGAAAACATGACTTTTCCCAACCTCTTCAGAGGAATGTGGTCTTGTTCGACGCCCATATACACTTCAGCTCACACCAGGGAATCATAGAGAATCAGATAAAGCTAAGCTTAGAAAGCTTCATAGGCTGCATAGGCTCTAACCCAGGCATCTGCATAGTAAGTCCCCAGAATCCTGAGCAGTCTCTGTGTCTGTAAGAGACACAGATGAATGGAGAAAGAGATCCACGTCTTCAATGACCTGGAGCAGTGGTTCTCAATCTGCGGGGTGCTACCCTGTGATCTCGTAAGACCATCGGAAAATGCAAATATTTACATTACAGTTCATAACAGTAGCAAAATTACAGTTACAAAGTAGCAATGAAAATAATGTTATGGTTGGGGGTCACCACAACGTGAAGGAATGTATTAAAGGGTCACAGCGTTTGGAAGATTGAGAACCAGTGGCCTAGGGGACCCCGCCCACTCCATTTCCAACCTTCACAATAGTCTCAAATTCGGGTGGAGTAGCTTCGTGAGGTTAGACTTGTTTCCCATTCCTTTTCTGCCCCTCACTTCTGAATGATGAAACAATTATGGATGATATTTGGGCAAGCAGATACGTGATAAGTATTATCTGTCTTGCTTTTTTTAAATGTAGCACCCAGAGAATATTTATTGACACTATAGTTAAGCTGTTTGGCCAAATATTTATGTCACTAGAATGTAAATTTCATAGGACAAGAATTTTGTCTGTTGGTTCACTTACATATCCTTACCCCACCTCAATGCCCAATGGACACATGAAATACATTCAAATATTAGTTGAGTGAATAAATGAATGAATTTCAAAAACCTTACATATATGCCAAGGATGTGAACTTTATCCCACTAGCATAAAGCTTTGCCTGCAATTTTTTTTTGATTTTTCAAGGATGGAAAAAGATATTTCACCTTAAATTGAATATAGTAGTGTCGAGTGTTAAAAACTGTAAACACACCTCCCAGTACATTTCAGAATCTAATGAAAGTCTTGTAGCGTTAAGATTAAAATTGCAGTGAATTTATAAGTCATTCTGGGAAAATTGACATATTACTGAGTTTTTTAAGATATGAGCATAGTCTAACATGTTTCCTTGACAACTGACAGTAGGCTCTCATAGTTCTTATAGGAGTTGCTTTAGAAAAGTTCATTCCTAAAAATGTTGCTGTCTGTAAGATAGTTACAATTAAATAGTAGCTTAGAGACAATTTTGTCTTCTGATGGTTGCAGCTGCTGTACAGAAATGCAGCTGCCCTTTGAGTACTGACTTTGTGCTGTGTGTTCTTGCTAAAGGGACCTTGTGAGTTCTTCTCATTATCTTATACGTTACTTTGATGTCAGAACAAACAGCTGAGTCACTTACGAGGAATTTTGCTACTTCCTTTGTGACGTTCACATCTCTTATGTTTCCTTATCATAACAAACCAAGACCTCTGATCAAACCACAAATAGAATTGGTGGGAATGGACACCTTTCTCTTGTGGTCTTCAAGGACTAAGGTCTGCATTTTCCTATTAACTCTGCTGTCTGAGGGCTTGTAAAAAAAATCTGTGCCAGACTGACGCCTCAGCTTTGGATTTTGTTTGGTGTTCCATACCTGTAACCCTGTTTCCTCTTCAGTCCTTGTTGCTAGGGGTAAGCCAAAGATTTTAGCAGAATTTATGCACTACATATGGTTATTCTCTGTGGCTTTCTCTCTTACCCCATGTAATCTTTGGAGTTTAAAGTTTTAACAGAAGTCTATTAGTAGAAATATCTTGTGGTGGAGAAAAGTGGATTCAATCCCCTTGAATCTGCAAACATGTTGGGGCAAAGACTTCTACCTACTTGCTGTTGGATTCTCATAGAAGTGTTCAATTCTAGACAATTCACCAGTCCAGCTGCCAAAAGGCCTTGGTAACCCACACTCTAGATATAGACAGTCTCTTGAGTGGAATCATAAGTGATCCAGCTGTACACCCCCATTTCCTGTTCTCCAGCTTCCACATAAGCATACCTTTTAAAGGAGACCACTTGTATTGACTTTTCAGACCATGTGGATGAGAGAATTATATGTAATGGGATTGCTCCAGAAAAAGATGTTGACGGATTTCACATTATCAATATCGGAAGACTGTGCCTTGACCAGCATTCAATGATCCCTGCTACTGCCAGTGCCGTTTGGGAAATCATCAAAAGAGCAGGTTGGTAACCTGGGTCTGTGGGAAACCAGTATCATCTGCAGATGAGCACCAGGGCCTTGACTGGGTAGAGCTACCTCTGTCCACACGCGACTGAAGTGATGAGCATAAACTAAAGTCTATAAAAACGTTGTACATTTATCAATAGCACAGGACAGGACCACATAAGAGAAAACGAACAGCATGTGCCAGGTGATCGGCAGCTACACTTGTAGCTTTCAGTGACCAAACCGTTGGATGTGGCCGGGTCTTCCTACTTTTAAAGATTTGTTTATTTATTTTATTTATATTTTCTGAGTACACTGGAGCTGTCTTCAGACACACCAGAAGAGGGCGTCAGATCCCATTACTGATGGTTGTGAGCCACCATGTGGTGGCTGGGAATTGAACTCAGCGCCTCTGGAGAAGCAGTAGGTGCTCTAAACCACTGAGCAATCTCTACAGCCCATCCTCCTACTTTTAAATCACGCGTCTTGATGACAGTCTTTTCAAACTGGAGGGCATTTTCTTACTAAGATAAGCTTATATAGGACCCCTGTCCATTGACTGTAGTTCTTAATAAAAGCATGTAGGCCTTGACTATATTAGACTCAACATGGCTGGCAGGTACACTCATGGAGCTCAGTGGCTTTGCATAAAACACCTTTCCGTTTCTAACCCTCTGATTTCTAGCTGATCTACAAACTCCAAGAGAAAGCAGATTCTAGAATCACACACTAGCTCATCAAAGATGGGACGTTAACTCAGTACTGTACTGCTTCTTTTGGTGAAGTAAAGTGTGTGAACCTTCCACTCTTATCCGCGTCTCGCTGGAAGTCTGACTGCCGTTTGTGCTTAGTACTATTGTATGAACTTCTAGTCTTATTATCAGTTAATGTATTTTAAGACTGTACACTTCATGAGAAACTTGGTTTTTAAAAGGACTCTAATGACAGCTTGAGAACTTTTGTGGTTTTTAAATGAGGACATAATGAGAGAGGAAGCGGCAAATCCAAGAAACATTAAAAGAAATATTTATAAATAATCCAGTGAGGGCATACTATAGACGGGGCATGAAATCCACACCTAATTAGAAGGTTTTACAAAATGCTTCAGTTGGCTTTTCACATACTTAGTTCACTCCTTATTAGTCACGCATTTAAACAGACTGTATTTTTTAAAGGAATTGAAACATTTGGGAAAAACGTGGTCGTGGCAGGACGATCCAAGAATGTGGGCATGCCGATCGCCATGCTGCTGCACACGGATGGAGAGCACGAGCGTCCTGGAGGTGAGCGTGGGTTTCTGCGGCTCATCTAGCCACAGTGTGAAAGCCTGGAACACCAGAGGGATTGCTGATGTAGGTGTTACTCCCTACTGATGTGATAAAACACCAAGACCAAAGGCCATGGAAGAGCTCATTTCAGGCTTCAGAGGGGTAGAGGTCACCATGGTGGAGGGGAGGTAGCGCGTGGCTGGAGCAGCTGCTGAGAGTTCACATCTCTAACACTAAGCAGGAGGTGGAAAACACTGAGGGGGCAGGCTTTTGAAACCCCCAAACCTGGTGACCTACATCCTTCACAGGCCACACCCCCTAGTCATTCCCAAGAGTCCCACCAGAGGCCAAATATTCAAATGTACCAGCCTATCAGAGCTAGCCTTATTCACACCATTGCTGCTGAAAATATGGGACCCCTTTGCTCCATTTCTTTCACTTTTGTTTCTTTTTCATTTGTTTGTTTCTTCCTTTCTGTTTCTTTCTTTGTTTCTTTTTCATTTTTTCTTTATTCTTTCATTTTTACTTATTATGCCTATAAAAATAAAAAAAAGTATCAATACAGACATTAAGAAGGGATAGTGACATAAAAGTCACTGTTTCAGAAAATTCTCAAAGTTAGAAGTGAAATATTTGTATTTTTTTTTTTTGGAGACTTGATTTCATGTGATTTTTTTTTTTTTAGAAACTATCTTAGGAGAGGATGATTTTATTGAAACAGACACATGGAAGAATGCTTGGCTGAGAACAGATACGTGGTAGATTTATGGAAGTTGCCTGTAAAAAGGGCAAGTGACGTTTTGCTAGAGTGGACACTTGTGAGAACGAACACATGATGTTTTGGAAAGGGTATAAATATAAACCAACAGACAGTGGATGGCTCTGTGTGGCATTGGTTTGCCTTGACAATTTTTGTTGGTCTTTGTTGGGTTTTGTTGATGCTGGTCTTCACTGACAATGCTGTGACATTGGTTCACTTGTCATTTTTGTTGACTTTGTTTGTTGTGATTTTGTAGAGAGAAACACACCAAAGAACTTTTCATGATGTTTTGGTGGCTTCTTCCAGCTTCTGTACAGACTTGGGCAATTGGCATAGCCTTGTGTTGGTTTTATTGTTTATTTATTTGTTTGTTTGTTTTGTTTGCTGAATCAAATTGTCATTGCTAATTCATAAATGGCATTTGTGAGTGGATCCGGCTACCACTGCTGATTTGTGTGAACTGAACTGCTAATATTCTGACTACAAAGATTAAAATTGCCCCGAAGAACTAATTTTAAACAGGTCCATATCCTGCTAGGGCCTATTAACATTTCTTTTTCACTACCTCTGATGTATGGTAGGCTAGAAGGGAGGTTAACACATTTAAGAACACTTATTAAAACAGGTTTAAAAAATAGATAAACCTACAGTTGAGTGTTAAGTACTAAAATGGTTTAGTACATCACAACACCACTGATTAGTTAGTTCCCTTAATAGAAAAGGAACCTGGGACTTAGGGCTCATAGCTGATTATCTGTGTTAGACAACTAAGTATTGTGCTGTAGTAATAGTGACAACTCACCACAAAAGCCCAGGGTGACTTCAAGACATGAAGGTGTTTGAGAACATGCATTGCATTCTCTGGGGCCTGCTGGCTCACCACACTCCTTGGACCTTGGTGTTTTCAGCTGTCTTAGACCTGGACCTGAGCTGATCCACAATGAGGACTGGTGACCACGTAGAAAGATTATTTTGCAAAGGACAAGAGGCTTTGCTCACAATTTGCCTGAGCTAATGCTGGGGCAGGGGACAGGAGGTTACTCAAACCAAGTTCATGGTTTCCATAGAAGCATTGATAGTCTGTATGTGCCCGTGATGTCCACTGGGACCCTGGCTGATTATCCTTCCTGTTTAGGACATTTTGCCTAATCTTCATACAGTAAGCACTTAACTGGCTTCCTTAATTACAAAAAGAGGTGCATACTTTTTTTAAAAAATGCTCACACATGTATACTACCATACATGAGTATAGTTAAATACCCACACATGTAGACATAATACCATATATAGGTGTAGTTAAGTGCCTACAGATATATCCACTATCATACAAAGGTATATAGAGGTTTTTTTTAAAGTATTATTAATCATGTTGAATTTTAGTTTCCTCATATCAGTTTCTTGGCAAGTCTTTTTTAGTGTCTTGACTATCAAAATTCACAGGAAGAGATTTTTAAAACACAAAGCCCCATGGAAAAATAAACACAATGTTGACTTATGTAAAACAGTAGATAGGTGTGACAGCATATGACTATTGTCCTAACACTCAGGAAGCAGAGGCAGGGTCAGCCTGTGAATTCAAGGTCAGCCTAGACTACAAAGTGAGTTCTAGGCCAGTCTGAGGTACTTAGTGAGATAGTGTCTCAAAAAAAAAAAGTAATGAATAATTAGGATGAGCAGGTGGCCTTTGAATATTGTTTCCTGTTTCTGTTTTAAAATCTATGATAGGAAGCTAATACATGTGTGTGGATCATAGTAAGTCAGGGCTTGGTAGTGACTCCAGGCAGTTGTCCCAGCACCCACCTTCCAAAGTTTCCTTCCTGCTGGCTCACTCTTTCCTTCTAGCTCATTTTACTGTCTGCCTTCTCCTAGGTGTAGAGTGTTGGTGACAGTGGGTGTCATATAATATTCTTATGTTAAGGAAGGTAAGACGAGAAGGAATTTTAAAAGGACATACTATTTTTCATGAAAACTTTGATCTAAAGACAACCAGCAAGTTTTTCTTTACTTTCAATCCTTTGTTTTCTCGTCTCATCAATAGCATACCAAGCAGCATTCCGAGCCCCTTGTTCTGAAAAGCACTTTCTCATAAACTGTCTAGCCAGTTTTCAGTGGTTCCGGTACATAGGATTACTATTCCTATTTTACAGATGAAGAAATGAGCTTGTAAGGCCCTGGTGGATTCTGAGGAAGTGGAGGTCCCAGGACTGGGAGCTAGAGATGAGTAGCCACTGTGGTTAGGAACACTGGTCAGCAATAGACACATTGCCTAACCTATGACCTTCATCAACCAGTTCCCCTTAGAGACTGTCACTGTTCTTGTCTGTAAGAAATGCATAGCGTTGATAGCATAGTTACTGTGAAAAGTAAATGGAGAAGTTTTATTCAATAAATCACTAGCTATAATGGGTTTGAGATGTTAGTGCCTGGCACACAGTGAATTAGATAAGTTGCCACGTGTAGCCGTAACAGGTCTTGTCTCAATTAGTTCTAAGTTAAGAACCTATAACCCACCATTCATGTGGTTACAAGACAAGCCCAAAGGTCACTGGTGTTTTCTTCTTTGGCTTTAATTTGAAATTTAGTTTCTTTTCCTGCTGAGCTTTATTTTTTGATTTTTAAAAAAATATTTAGTTTGTTTTGTAAGAATTTGAACAAATTCAGCTTATGAAGGTTTACAAAGCCATAATTAGAAATCTGATACCATAATATTCCAATATTACTTGACAACATGCTTTTTCTTGTAGGGTTCAGTATGTTATATGCTAATTTCTTGTCATATTTCAATTATGAATTATTTACAAACTACCTTAGAAAACCAATCCACTTTTAGTTCAATTTAAAGCTACAAAATACTATTAATATATACTACAAACATTACCTTATGTATTGTGGCATATGTAATTATTTATAGATACATACATATGTAGTAAAATATCGAAATAAACATAAATTGATGGTGGTAGTTGTTTGGTTTTTTAGCAGATCAGGAGCCAAGGAAAGACACAGAAATCACACCAAACAGCAGATCTTATGAGGGGGAGGGGTGAAAGGCTGCTTTGGAGTGAGGACGGGAGAGAGGGAGAGACAGAGACAGAGACAGAGACAGACCAGCGAGAGACAGAGAGACAAAGACATAGAGAGATAAGAGAGAAAGAGAGAGAAAAAGAGAGAAAGACAGAGGCAGAGAGAGAGAGAGAGAGAGAGAGAGAGAGAGAGAGAGAGAGAGAGCAGAAAGAGACAGATAAACAGAGACCAGAGAAAGGCACACAGAGAGACAGAGCAGGCTGTGACAGAGTGGACATTTTAAAGAGGACATGACTCACGGCAACAGTGGAAATGTTGTGTTTTTGCAGCTAGTGATGACATGGCTGCCGGCGCTGAAGGTGGGTTTCCGGCAGACCTGCTTCCTAACTGTAATGATTTTTGAGAAGAGAACTATGGAGTTAAAACCTATTACTTTAAAAACATTTTATATTTTGGTCAATGAAATTTCTTCACTTTAATGAGTGCTAAAAAAAATGGAAGACATTTGAAATTGGTTATAATCTACATTTTACAAAGTTAAATTTACAAAGTTAAATTTATCTTTATTATAGTGGTATCTCGCAGTCACTATAATTACTGTATCTGAAAGGTAAAAAAAAATAGTAAAAATATTATTGAAGGTTTGCTACATGGGTGGTGTTTAATTAATAGACATTTAATAGGAGCATTGTGACATATATTATTAGCATAATGAACAAGTAAGCGAGTGCTTACTGATATTTGGAGTCTGGGAAAGTTAGTGTTTTGGATGTCTTCCCCTGGCAGAGCAGTAATTAGATGCATTGTTAGCTAATGGGGATAATGAAGATGGATTAACTGCAAATTTATATCTATAGAACTTGTTCTAATGACACAATGTTGAGCATTTAGCACACACTGTGTATTGTTTTACCAAAAGAGACTGAGATGCCTAATAATTCAAATTAATCTCAAAGACAAAAATAATTTCACTTAAAAAAACCATAGTCGCGTAGTTTAATACATTTCTGTTCTTGGCTCCCTTTAAGTTTTGACATTAAGAGCACAAAGCTGGGATACATTGTAAGAAAAAAAGCTCTTTTCGTTTACTTGGGGATTGAAATATTCAAGAGTGAGAATGTACTTAAATTTCTAAGTACAAAGGTGGAACTGTGTGTGGGAGGGGAGTGGAAGGCGTGTGTGGAGGGAGGAGAGGCGCTGCAGTTGGAGTGCTGTGGTCATGATGTATTGT